ACACACTCNCGCCNCNCNCCCGCGCTCGCACNCTCACCACCTCCACCTACTACTACCTCTCCACCACCGACCCTCCTCCGGCCCACTTCCTTCTGACGCGTCGGCCGCCTCACCAGCCTCACCTCGTTACAACTTTACAGCAACGCCCTGTCCAGCCCCATTCCTTCCGAGCTTGGCAACCTGATCAACCTCACCAGCGTTGACCTCTCCTACAACAGCCTCTCTGGCCCAATTCCTCCAGAGCTCGGCACCCTGACCAAGCTCAGATACTTCGCCCTCTCCAACAACAGCCTCTCCGGCCCCCTTCCCCCCGAGCTTGGCAGCCTGACCAGCCTCACCAGCTTATACCTCTCCAACAACAGCCTCTCTGGCCCAATTCCTCCAAAGCTCGGCAACCTGACCAAGCTCGGATACTTCGAGCTTTACAACAACGCCCTCTCCGGCCCGATCCCACCTGAGCTCAGCAACCTGACCGACCTTAACGAACTTTCCCTCTACAACAACGCCCTCTCCGGCCCGATTCCTCTGGAGCTCGGCAAAATGAGGAACCTCGAGTTCTTAGACCTCTCGAACAACAGCCTCTCCAGCCGAATTCCTCCTGAGCTCGGCAAATTGAGGTACCTCCGCTACTTAGACCTTTCCAACAACAGCTTCTCTAGCCGAATTCCTCTTGAGCTCGGCAGCCCGGATTCGGACCTCGCCTACTTGTACCTCCACAACAACAACCTCTCTGGCCCGATTCCGGCTGAGTTCGGCAACCTGACCGCACTCACCAACTTAACCCTCTACGAGAACGCCCTCTCCGGCCCGATTCCTCCAAGTCTCCTTCGATTTGGCAACACATCTTTCTATCCTGGAAACTCGGGACTCTGCTGCACCAACTGCAGCGCCGACTTCAACTCGCAGTGCCCCAATCCACCACCTCCGGAGCCATCATCGTCATCATCTCCTTCAGTCGGACCCATTGTCGGTGGAGTTATTGCGGGAGCTGCTCTCGTCCTGGCCTTTGCAAGCTTAGGGTACTGAATTTACCGTAGAAAGACTCGGATGTCAGGTTTTAGGGTTCGTGACACAGAGGTGGTTGCTTTCTAGGAGTTGGGCCGGCGATCTTTCGTTTAGCCGGTTACGGGGCCTGTTAAAAGGATGCCCACAGTATAGGCCCGGTATGTCCGTCTGACATAGAACAAATCACAGATAGTGACTTAAGAAACTTAAGAAACTCACAGGCCCGGACTCTCAGTATTGAAGCTTCCGACTTTTTTATTAGGTTTTAAGTGATGGAAACCTAGTGGGAGACTTGAACCATCTAGATTTTGATTAGAGGGCCGGCCATCGTGGTGTGTATGTGCGGTTTATCTCTGAGATTTATTCACTCAATCGCGAAACGTCTGTATGAAGCGCGAACCCTGAATCGCCTCATGACCATGAGAAAAGGTTAGTTGCAGCCTGACGTCGATTGCTACGTTTGACGTAAGACAAGCTATGTTGCATCTTCTTTTCGAATGGATCAAATCTAGTTGGACTACGTCCGCCTGCTGTCGCTCTATTTAATGCTTGGTGCAGGCAATACATAGGGCAATGAAGGGCTTCTTCGTTCTGGGAAGTGCGGCAACATCTAGCGCTTCTCATCCAGATATAGGAGGACGGTCGCCCGAAGGCCTCGTTGGATGTCGAATTGTTTTGGAGCAATGACCTCAGGCTGCCTGTTTGGCTGCTTCGTAATGATGTGCCCCTGACGATTGGCGAGCGCAAGCTTCAAACGGCCGCTCATGTGAGACCAGTCGGACGGACGTTCGTTTCTGAAGTCCCCTGTAATGTATGGAAGTACGGCGCTGTTTTGCGTCAGCTCCGCTGTGAGTCTAGAGGAAAAACCTCTCGGTTGTTTGGAACTTCGCTTCGTTCGTTTCAGTGGTTGCAAACAGCTGGTTATTATTTCAGCTTTTGTTGGCTTCTTCCGTTGCAAGCATGCAGAGCTCTCATTCACTCATCAAGTTGTGCATCAGAGTGACTTGGCTATTTAATTGATTGGGCCCTTTTAGGAATATGTTTGTCATGAACGTCTGCTTCTTACGTACATCTGGTGTGATTTTGGCTTGCACATCACAACTCAAGATTGGTTGCCTTCCGGGCCGGCAGTAATCGTGTTTGCGGTTTCCCTGTCTTTAAACGGGGGGCGAGGGGACATAAACCCCAGATTCCAAACTGCTCTGAAGCCGGATCTGCAGATCCTCGCTTAACAACTGAGTCAAGAATTCTTGTTAAGCGCACTTCCTTGACCGGCTTGAAATGTACTGGAGAACGGCCGTTGATATTTGTATGACGGAGTGTGTTGAATGATGATCATTCTTGCCAGAGCCACGTACCTTCAACACTAGCATGATATCAGTTAACCCGCAACGTACGCAGTCAAACAGTTCAAACTGCCAAGGTTGTACGCCGGAACACGTTCGGCAATGCATCGCCCCGCATTCGCCCTGGTAGAGCACCAATTCGCGACGTGCGTTGGTGGCCCGTTGCGTCCTCTTTTGAATCTGACTAATCTATCAAGGGTTAGGTCGCCCAGCTGTTTTAGTCCAGCTCAGGCGGTGATCTATGATAGTGTCAGGAACCTTGCGCGCGCTAGCTGTCGACGTCTTCTCTTTTTCCGTGACTCAATCTTGGCCAATATTTTGCTTCAAAGGGGTCCAAGGTTGATGCCATGAGAAGCTTTTGCCATCGCTCTGCATATCCACGTCGGGCAACGACGCCGCTCAGTTGAAGCCGCCTTCCCTTTTCTTCGGTGTTGTACAATAGTGCATTGATATTATTCTGTAGTCTTCTGTAGATCCAACGTGCCTTATTTGCAGTCTGTGTTGATGTCTGAGGGCCAGAAATTGATTGCAGATTGAACCCAAGTCAATTTTGTTCTCGGCCATTCTGGCCGTGGGTTGAGAGCGCGTGTAACCACGTACGTGAGCATTGGCTTGCACAACGGATTTCAGTTCGCTCTGCCTCGTCTGCCTTTCCAGTCCTACTCGAATGAAACGGCGTCCCAGTTCTTCCAACTGGAACGGTTTGAAATGTAAATCTCTCATGGGCGAACAGGCACAGGAAGTTTCAGCAAAAGCTGCTGGCGAGGGCGGCCGCGGTCACCGCGTGCGCGCAGCGACCGCGCGACCACGCTAAGTACGGCGGGGGCGCGTCGCACTTGCGTCGCACAATACCCTCAGCTAAAGCAGCCGTTCCCAACGTACGTCAAAAGGGCGTGGCGGCCAGCACCACTGCCCCGGCCTCTGGTATCGTTGAAGAACAGCTTAGCGGCCGCGGGCGCAGCGGCCGCAACGGTGCCGAGGGGCGCGGCGGCGGTCGTGGCCACGCACAGGCGCGGCGAGGCGCTGCGCCAAGATAAAAACGCCGTTATGCAGCTGAGTTCAGGTGCCAAACGCTTTCTCCGACTACAAATTGATCAAAAAGGTTCAGGGTACTTCATTATCATGGTGATGCGTCAAGACGTGTTCCTGAGGTGGGTGTTCCTTTGAGGTTTTACGCCCCAAGAGCTTTTGGAAGTTTCTAAGTTAGCTGCCATCATCAAGCGGTAATATCTGGCGATGAAGAGTCCGAATACCTATGCCGTTCCTGAAAGCTCGGCACATCTTCGAACACCTCGGACTTTAGCACGTAGCACCTTGTCCAAAACGTTCTCAGAAACGACCGTGGGCGCTTTGCAGAACCGATGATTTCAGGACCGAAGCTTACCCGAGTCTGTGCGTAAGTACTGGCTGTGACGGTTGGCTCTTTGGTAGTCGCCGCATCTGCAGCAGAAGAAGATTGACTACGACCAGTAACGATACTTGAGTTGCTTGAGCATTCATTATTCCTGATCGCGACACCTCTACGAACCGCGCCCGCGATTATGACCAAGTGAAAAGGCTGGCTGTTGGCTGACGTCCATTTCACGATCTTCTTCGAAGCAATCACTCCTAATCGAATTTTGGCTCCGAATCGGTCTCGAGGATGTGTTCTCTTGCAGTGCTTCGTGCTCGGTAAGGCGATAAAGGGCTTCTGCTCGTTTTGAGAAGGTGCAACGTAGTTCTGTGCTTCTCATCCAGACGTAGAAGGCCTCAATGAAGCCGGATGGTTTTGAACCCCTGTTTTTCTGTCTGCTCGGCTTGGCGAGAATAGGCTCTAGAGGTATCGTGAGCGCCAGGTTGCTCCGGCCGCTCAATCGACTGATAAACCGGACGTAACTCGAGCTCCTGAAGCCAGTATTCCTTGTGAGGGCAATGATCGGGCTATGCCGCACTGGTGCTTTGTGTAGGAGGGGAAGTCGGAAGACTTATAATTTTACTGAATTTTGACGGACCCACCATTGTCAAGTTTTGGGAAGAAAAATATGTCCATCAGTCAGCCTAGCACGGTAGCAAGCGGCTGCTCCGAGATTAGAATTTGACCGTATTGTCTTTAGGCTCTTTGAAGCAGTTCAGTGCTCCTTAAGCGAGGCATTTCATTTGCCGCTTGCGACCAAGGACGCTTAGACTGTGCGACTCCTGTCAGTCTGCATGTAGCTGTTTGGCAATGATCGTTGCAGCAATCTGAGCACTTCGTTTGAAGCCTCTAGTCAAGTCGTCACGAAGTTTGTTGAGCTCTTCAAGTTTGCGGGCATATAATCTCCATCATGGGGCCGTGAAAAATGGAGTTGGTGGGATGCCTATTCTGGAGCCCACTGCTCTAGCGATACAGGTTAAGCTTTGATATGAGGCCGCCCTAGACCCTCATGTCTATATTCCTTCTCTTAAGGTCCACACCGAGAGAAAGCCCTTGTCTGGTTCTTTTCTTAAGTTCGTCTCAAGTTAAGACGGGCTTCAGACTGGAACCAGACGGGTTCAGACATATGTCAGACATCTTCAAGACATGGTCGAAACGGGCCGCCACGTAAGGCCGACCGGAACCAGACATGGTCCAGACATAGTTGAGACATCCTTCAGACGGATTTTGATGTCTGGTTCGGAAAAAATGAGACAAAGTTCAGACATGTCTGTGTGTCCGAATACTGTCTTAAATCAGTCTCGACAAGGTCTGTAAGCAGTCCGGGTCTCTTCAGACAGCGCGTGCTAGTACTAGCACGCGCTGTCTTTGAAAGGTCCTACTGCTGTCTTGAGAATGTCTTAAGCATGCCTGGAAGCGGCTAACCTACTGGCCGTCACCTTGTACGAGAGTACCAATCTGACGAGGCAGCTACGGGGTTAACAACGCGCTACATACTGGCTAAGTCTTTGCCTCCTCGTACAGCTTGATCAGGTCCTCGGAATTGAAAGGGGCTTGCAGTTGACCTGACTCGATCGCGTGGCTCAAGAGGCGGATCAACTTGCAGATGTGGCCCCGCTTCCTTTCGACCGTTTCCTGCTCGGAGCGCGACTTCTCCACCTGATAGGAATGATGAGTGCGGACGCTCAGTCTTGGCGAACACCGTACGTTGACTTGCTTGCACGTAAAGTGCTTCGAAATTAAAACGTGGGCTGAGCAGAGAAGACGAGGTAATGAGCATAGGTGCAACTACAGTAGTAATACCGAATTAACGTGCAAAGTGAGAGACCTTCACTAGTAGTAAAAGAAAAGACCTGCAATACCTGGTTGAGAAGATGGCAAGGCGCACCCAAGTCTTCAGAATCACCTTCGTGTGCCCAGATCGCATCAGTCATCTTCCGAAGACGATAGGCTTCCAACGCAACGCAATCTCCTTTGAGACAAGCTGTGGCAAAACGTACATGAAATGTGCTTCTATGTAACGTTCCGTTAGGATCGAGCATCATGAGCTCTTACCCCAAGCATGTTCTCGATGCTCAGGCTCTTCTTTTTCGCGTCAACCGTGAGGTGCTGCTTGGTCACGATCTCCTCGATGTACTGTAGAGTGAACAACCCACAGTCGTAGTTGTTCTCCTCGACGGGTACCTGCAAGGTGAAGTATTGCTTAGAGTCTCACTCGTAATGACCATCTTCGGACGATCCTAAGGTTCAAATCCCGACTTCTTGACTATTAGATACACGAAGTCCCTTACAGCATGTGCACAAGATGCTTCAATGGAAGAGCTGCAACGACTACGTACAAGCCGCATATTCTGATGCTTCAAGCCGCATTTCGGAGCTTTCAAATTGTTTGCTATCAGATCAAGCCTTCTCCGAGAGCAGTAAGTATGATATACGGTGCATTCATTGTTGTATTTCACGAATCCACTCGGCCGAAATTCTTCGACCGCCAGTTGCTTTTTGCTAGAACTATCAAAGGTCTCGGCTTCAGACGACGGAAACGAACGTCCTCATACGTCACCGAGTGCAAGCACAGCTGCCTTGCCTTGCAACATGTCATTGACTGGCGCCTCGTGACGCATGGCCAGTGAACTGCCCGCATAGCACAAACATACAGTTCCGAGACGGTCGGTATTACTTGCCTGTGGTATGATGGTGGGCATGCTGGTCTTTGTGAACGGCTTTTGCGGGGCAATCCTCTTGGGCGGTCGCAAAGGCACGTTCCGCGACAGGTACAATTCGGAGAGATACCTAGGCAGAAGAAAGAGATGTGAGTCCAAGCATTCGCTGCGGTGCTGATTGTGGACATTCTTCGGAAGGAGAAGTTTTGAAAACGTCTGTGAGTCGAAATCTATGTTCGCTCAGACAGAGGTCAAATATCTGGGTCATATTGTTGACTCGCGAGGTATCAGACCCGATCCGAAGAAAGTGGAATCAGTTCAAACCTGGCCAGTACCTCAGAGCGTCACTAA